CTTTCGTGACTGCAAGGATTCATACTCTTTGGTTCTATTCGGTAAAGTCACGTAGGTAAAACTTACACGAATTTTCAGTGGAAAAAAACCCAGCAAAGATGGTATGGTGCCTTGTATTAAGCAAAACTCAAGTTACATTTTAAATTATAGCATTTTCTCCTACTGCACACACAGCACTAATTAATCAATGTTGCCAGCCGGTTTCTGCAGGAATAAGCCCATACATATATGCGATTCCAAAATATGTTGACTATCATCTTCATGTAAATTTAGTGGCGGGAAAAAAACCTCCTCCCCTGCCCCCGCCTCTGATCTCTACACCTGATTGCGTTCAGTGATTGGGTTAAGTTATTCAGTAATACATATTACAATTCCTTATCGAGGAAACATACTAATTAACTGATTACTAATCTACTATATAACACTATGTAATACCATTTTTTGTTGCTGGGTAGTGTTATTTCGTAATTGCTTATGCCTGAAAAGTATAGAAAATGGCTATTATTCCACACAAACTTTTATTTTGTGACCAGGACAGTAGATTTTTAAAATGCACCTATGTTCAATGAGAAAACGGGCAAATGTGTCTTTTCGTTTACATAAATTCAGAAAAAAACAACATATAAATCAAAATTAACATGCATTTATATTAAAGTAATAGAAAAATGACTACAAAAGATTTAGGAGTAGTTTTTCGAGATTTACGATTATACTGTAAATCACTTTCACGAATCACCCCCAAATGTAGTCTCCCATGGTGTTCTCGTTGTACTGTCCTTGGTAGCGGCGTTCAAAGTCCAGTATATCCTGGTGGAAGCACTCGCCTTGCTCCTCCGAGTATGCTCCCATGTTCTTTTATTTACGAAGATGAGCAACAAGGATATGGACTTTGAGGGACATCCTACAGCCCATTGTGCCGTAGTTCTTCACCAGTCTCAACCAGCTCAAGATAGTTTTCGACCTTGTGATTGCCTAGGAAGCAACGAACCACTACGACAAAGCTGTTCCAAGCCGCTTTCTCCTTACTCGTGAGCTTCTTGGATAATTTATTACACTCCAGGATCTTCTTTATCTGTGGTCCGATGAAGACACCGGCTTTGACCTTTGCCTCAGACAGCATAGGGAAGAAGTCTTGAAGGCTGCCGACTCCTTATCTACACAAATTGTTTCACAAGGCCCAATTTGATGTGCAGTGGTGGCATCAGCACCTCCCCACAGAGAACTCGGTCCGCTGTGGCCAGTCCCGCCTGTGGTAGTGCGCCTTGGTGTCCCTGCTGTCCCAAAGGCAAAGATAGCAGGGAAACTTGGTAAAACCGCCTTGGAGACCCATCAGGAATGCCAGCCATACTCATCATACTTCAAGGCAGCCACAGCAAGGTTTTCATGCTGTTGTAATCCTCTTTGAGGTGCACCGAGTGAGCCAGGGGAAGAGAAGTGTACTTATGGAGTAGCACGGCTTTGAGGCTCCTGGATGAGCTGTCAATGAAGATGCGCCACTCATTCTGGTTACAGGTGGTTCCGATTGCCTCGAACAGGCTGGTCACAGTGGCAGAAGCAGAGCCCATCTTGACGGGTGAAGCTGCAAAAAGGTTGGTGACGCTTCATCCGATTGCTCGCAGGTGAAATGAGGTGCCCAGGGTTTGTCTTAATCCCCGACAGGCATGCCGAAATATGCCTTGTAGGCCTCACACATCTTAGCAATTGCTTCCACAGAGTACTTTTTCGCTCGTGTTGATAAATTGGCCAAGGACATAGCAAAATGCGTCTGCTGGATGCTTGCAGCCTCTTGATGCCACCTCAGAAAAATGCAGATATGTATCCACTTAGGCAGCTGGAACTAAACTGAACTGACAAGCTTAAGACCCCTGTATTTATAGTATTCATATTACTAGAAAGTTCTAGAATGTTAGAGAAGTTACTCCAAGTTTACTCAGCACTGAATATCTGGAATGTTCTGGAAAATATGTAAATTAAAAAAATCACTGTCCTGGTCACAAAAGCAAACTTTGTGGGGAATAGCCATTTTCTGTACTTTTGAGGCATCAGCAATTACGAAATAACAATTACTACCCAAGAACAAAAAATGTATTAAAAAATTATTAGTGTAATTTCAATACCCCCCTCCTCTGCACCTGATTGGGTTCAGTGATGACGTAGTCCTGCTCTATTTAAGACCGGAAGCAGGTGGATGGCTTCACTCTTCTGGCAAATCACCCGATGCTGGATGTAATTACCAGCGAAACGTCGTACTCAGATTGTAAATGTTGTGGATTTACTCAACACACCGGTGGGCTGAAGTAGTAACTATTAGCTGTTTTGTTCACGTGACAAATCCGTTACCGATTGGATGTCGGGTGGTGGAGGGTTGACACATTTATACTTACGCGATCTAACCCAAAAAACCTCTTTTATTAATATTGGTCGCGAAAGCCTGCTGTGTTAAAAAAAAAACTTCGTGCGATTGAAATATTCTAGTCAAGTTATATTGTGTTATCATTTGGTGTTCTTATGCTCACCAACAATGTAATAAGCAGACCCACCAATCACTTTAGCTTGAGCAAGAGGTAAAACGCGCACCTCGGCAAGCCAAGCGTGGGGGATATGAAATGTCATTTCCACGTGTTGCATATTCCACACGCAGAATACAAAGTACACAATACTTAGTCAATTCCCAATGGGTTTAATTGGTTTACAACTCACAAATTATTTGCAGCTCTGCTAACTCAACAAAATGTCATACCTAATGGTACGTAAGACATAATCGAACATTCCTTTGGCATGTAAAACATGTAATCATATATATTTTACAGCCATTGTACAACGTTATTTATAATTGTACATATTCAATATAGAAAATGCAAGGACGTGTGTATGGGTGCATATACAAAACACCTCAAATACACACGTGGCAAAACATTTCAAGAACCGAAATTTTTTTTTACAGGTAAGGCCCACTGAGCAAGATAGCTCTTTTCCAGAAGCGACTGGACCACAAATGAAAGCTCAACGAAGTGGCTTATCGTATAGAAAGTCATAACAGCTAAAATACTCTAAATGGATGTTTCTAAATGTGGAGGGGAAAAATGGAGGACCCGGAGAAAAGTCAACGTGACCACAGGGAGACCATGGAAACGCCAAATACAGGCGTCAGGATCGAACCCACGACCTCCTGTATACCAAGCAAGGTAGTTAACATCTCACCACTGTCACCCCTAATAACATACAAAAGTGCACACAAACCAATTTATAGAAGGCTCAATTCGACACAATGCCTCAATTGGCTTTACAGAAAGCAGTTCTTGAGGAAGGTGTACTTAAGTGGTCATCTGTGCTGTATATGTGATGCTGCATTTCACCAGCATGAGGAAGCAGAACAGCATCTCCAGTCCAAGACGATAGGTCTGCCTTATACGACTGCAATACTTTGGAGCAAAACGTGTAATTAGCCCACATGTCCGACTGATATCTCCCCATCAAGGGTGACATTGATGACACTCTATAACAAAAAAATTACTTAAAACTTTCGTGACTCAGGAATTCATATTCTTGGTTCTCTAGGTAAAGTCACGTAAATAGAAAACAAAAATACATTTAAAATAAAAGCAAAAAACCACAGTAAAAATTAAAATAGTAAAATAAAATTATAAACTGAAAATAAAAGCAAAAAACACACGACGTTTCGATCGCAACACAAGCGCCTGATGAAGACCGCTTGTGTTGGGATCGAAACGTTGTGGTTTTCTTGCTTTTATTAATAAAAATTAAATTTCTAATTTGATTTTACTATTTATATTGTAGTTTTTTTGCTATTAGTATTTTCTACGTATTATTTATTTTTAATTTATTTAATTTTCTATTTATGTGACTTTACCGATAGAACCAAGAATATATATATTTTTTATCCTGGGTAGTGTTATTTTCCAATTGCTTATGCCTCAAAAGTACAGAAAATGGCTGTTATTCCCCACAAACTTTGCTTTTGTGACCAGGACAGTGATATTTTGAAATGTACCTATTTTCAATCAGAAAACGTGTGCATTTGTGTCATTCCTTCACATAAAGTCCTGGTCACAAAAGCAAAGTTTGGGGGGAATAATAGCCATTTTCTATACTTGTGAGGCATAAGCAATTAGAATATAACACAACCCAGGAATAAAAATCGTGTTACAGCGTTATGTTACCTTAAAAGATGGGCTATCCCACACCTAAATTGTACATCATACCAATCTGGTTATGTATTGTTGTCATCAATTAAGTAACGTATTAATTCCTGAAAAAGCAGGGGGATCGTGGATCCCATAACAGAATTTAGTGCAGCAAATAATGTAATTTTGATAAAACAATGGTACATGGGCTATAGCACCAGTATACAATAGCTTACTTTTGTGAATTATACGAGGTGTTTGTTGTAAAGTCCACATTGAAGATGGAAAGGTTTGACAAAAAACGTGTGGAGGCCACAACAAAATATTTACTAAAATGTAAAATAGTGTCGCTTTGGTGTGTATTATCTGTCCGGGAAGAATTTTGGCAGAATGCTCAATTCACAATCCTGATTGGGAGTCAACTCTGTTCTTTGTCGATAACATTAGGAAGGAAAATATGACTCTTGCTCAATGCTCATACTGGAGCCAGTCCGTGTATGAATGAATGTTGAACTTCTTTCGCACCATATGTAGCCAACTGTGCGCATTAGAGGTGCATGTAAGGTGTTCTGCCATGTTAACTCTGGATCAATTGACACATCTTTTCAGACATGAACAACAAATGCAAATCACATTATCTTTACGGCCTGAAATAAGTAGTTAGCAGGTTACCAGATGTCAATAGGTAACTCGTAAAAGTGTAAGGATGGTATTGTGATCTAGCATCTCTGTGGTCACTTGAGGGTTTGGGTCAATTTATCTATAGGTGGTATAAAAAAACCTCTTAATAATTATTTAATTGATGCAGGCAAGCTGAATATACTTAAACATTGCTTGTGTTGCGATCGAAACGTCGTAATTTTTTTTGTTATTTTCCTTGAACCTATCTACGTGACTTTCCCAAAAAACCCAAAGAATATGATGGAACAACCAACAGTTTCTTAATTTTTTGTACTCCGAGACCGGAAAGTGTTTTCCTCTTGCCTATGACAAGTTTCTCTTAAATATAAGTCAACAATATACAATCCTAATTTATCACTACAATGCACATGTTGTGTACAAATTCTTTACGTGGAGTGGCATGCCAATACTCTCATGACCTCGCAGCACTGGAACAAGGGTGATGGCAAGAGGGTGGGAAGGTCTTCGTCCAGCAGTGGATTGACAATGCCTGATGATAAAATACAGAATTTTTTTCACAGTGCCCTGAGAAGTTGTGCAAAATTCTCTTCGTCATTAATGTCATCGCCATCATCTTCGTCACTGTCGCTTCCTTCAAGGAAGAAGTCATCATCCCCTTCTCCTCCTTGGAAGAGCCTGGATGAAAAAGGTGCACACAACAGCGATGTCCATCCGTACATAAAATCGCTGTCAGAAAATAGTTTAGTAGCCAATTAAGGAGCACGCTAATCATGTTATGAATTTACTTTTGCGACACGGTTCATGTCCTAACTGTCCAGGAAAAGTGAACCACCTGTTGTAAATTAGACGAGATTTCAGAACAGTGTGTTAGTCTGTATCTCTCTGCACAAGTGGACACTGGCTGGCTTGTGTTTATCTTCATTCGTGAATCTTTCCAGAAGATGACCACTGTTGACCTCCCACAGAGGGGTACTCATTTTATTTAACCTCAGTGAGATGATGATATTTCAACCATGAATTAAACCTAAATGTGCAACTTCGTAAAGCGAGTCAATGATCCACAGCATCACTCACCCCAGATAGATACAATGAGTGAATATACAAAATGAAGACAAACATTGCAGGATTAATCATGAGCAGCTGAAGTATATATACATCAATTTTAATCGATTATTCATTTGTAGGTCTATTAGCATTTGGATATGCAAATGCATTCAATGCTAGGACCAGGACATTTTAGAGTTACAAGCAATGTTGAGATGTAGCGGCCATTAACACTAAGCAGCCAATCAACACAAATATTAGTTGGCATACAATAAAGAGGTTTTTTGATTTGAGTAATTTATAAGTGAAGTTGGGTGACGAATAAAAGGAAAGCGTTTTAAAGCAACGTACGACCATCGTTTGCTTTGCAACGAATCTACCTCACGAAATAAAACAGATAATGTCTTGGTTTCAGCAAACTTCACAACAACACCCACCTGTTGAAGCAAGGTGAGCGGGCTTCGTTGAAGTGGCTGTATGGGTTCGCGCGGGACAGCTCTTTCAAGCAGAGCCAGCAGAAATAGAGCTGGCAGCTAGAGCAAGTCATTTTATTGCAGCCATCCACTTTCTGCAGGCCACAGAGGATGGAACAAAAGCATAAACATCCTTATCTTGACACCTGTAATATATGTGATGTCACCACCATGCACGTGCACTAGTGTGCAAGCCAGACAGGCAGGAGTCCAGGCAGAAAGCCAGCCAGCAAAACTTTTTTCTAATATAGTATAATATTCTCTATCCAGCCTACTATGGTATCCTTCTTTCAAGACATGTTCTCATATAAAGATACAATGACCTTGCTACCAGAACATGTGATCTAGAAATAAAATGCTTTAAGAAAATAATTGTGAGCATATGCCCTCCTAGGTGGTACCAATAAACTATTTTTGGACCAATATTGAAATTTATTTTTTAATTGTATTTCTAAATTTTAACTTAAAACTTTGTGACTGCAGGAATTCATATTCTTTGGTTCTTTCGGTAAAGTCACGTAGATAGAAAATAAAAATAAAGTGAATACAAATAAAAAAAATCCACTAATGTAGACTGTACCCTGGTTATTAATCGGAGTGTACTGGCACTCTATGTGGACTGTAACCTGGTGGAATCAGCAGTTAGACATCTCCCTCATAATCAAGCTGAGATGACTAGGCACGAGGTTGACAAAATTATTGAGAACCGTAAAGTGCCAAAAAACAAATATTAACTTCAGTGAAGCAAAAGCCTTAAGAGAATTGAGAGCAAATAAAGATATCCGAAATCTTGCTGCTGATAAGGGCCGATCGACTGTTGTGATGCCCCACGAGGACTATGATAATAAATCAGTCCTCACGAGGTAACTAGCCATGACCGGACCCTGCCTTGGGTCCGGGGTCTCGTCTATCGGCAGGTCTTCTCCCGGCAGGTCTTCACCCGGCATGACGGCTTCCGTCTCCTCCTCGTCGGCAGCCCCCCCGAACCTGTTCGGGGGTCCGGTTTATATTCCCGGCCCAGGGAGCTCCGTCCGCTCTTTTCCACGCTTCCCTTCTCGGGCTTTCAAGAGGGGTCTCGTCTCAGCCCCAGGGCCCCCTACCCTTCAGAGGCTGGCACAGCACGCAAGAGCACTGCGCTCTTCATCCTCCTCAGACGATCTCTGCCGGCCCTTGCTAGGCCCGGCACTGCGCTCCTCCTGCACCGCTGTTGGCAGCGTGAGCGGCACGTGTTCTCGCCTCACACAGGCCGGCTTAGCGTATCCTGCAGTGGCATCCACCGATGCCACTACACATGGAAGATTTTGAAACAAAAGTAATAGCTTCAAGCACACTAAAACCATCTGCTTGGTTTAGATATGTGGATGACTCATTGGTGGTCTGGCCACGTGGCAAAGATACATTGAATGCATGTCTAAATCATCCTCAGCTCGCAAAACCCATCCATTCAGTTCACCATGGAAGTGGAAGCTGACAGAACTCTACCATTTCCGGTTATTCTGCTCGGACGGGGTAGACATGGTAAAATAACGCAGTTGTTGCCCGAAAGAAAACGCATACTGACGCCTATCTGAATGCAGTCACACCATCACCCCGCACAGAAATCTGCTCTTACCATCGAGCTAAGAAAGTGTCAGATGGTGACAGTCTGAGAAGTGAAATTCAACATGTTAAAGAAGCACTGCAAATGAACGATTACAATGATGCGCAAATCAACAAAACCAAATCAAATAACAAGAGCAATTAAACTGCCCAAGTAATTAAAACGATCAAAATACCATACATTGCGGGAGTAACTGATAAACTAGCCAGATGTTTGGAAAAACAAAACATCCGAGTCAGATTTGCCACGGTACATAAAATACAGAATTGTATATCTGGTACAAAAGATGTATTACCGAAGCTATCAACAGAAGGTGTGTACAGGATTAACTACACGTGTGGTAAATGTTATGTTGGGCAAACAGGATGAATGATCATCACGAGACTAAAATAACATCACATAAATATTAAATTATCCCAAATGCAACTGTCAGCAGTAGCAGAACACGGGTTCCAACAAGGACACTAAATTGATTTTGATGTTGAAGTTTTGTGCAAAACTAGCTACTACTGGCCAAGACTAATTAGAGAATCTATCGAAATTGAAAGAAATCAAAATAACTTCAACCGTTCAGATAGCTACCGTCTTAGTGCTGCGTGGAAGCGAGTTACTACGAAATAGCCCAAAAATGTGTGTAACGCACGTGACGTCACTCCACATGCCCCCCCACCCCCGTCATTAATAATAAAGTAATCATGAGCGGGTGGATTTTTACACGCACGCGGAAGGTCGAGTGGAAAGATACATTTCTTTCGCAAAGTCGCTTCAAATATGAGGGAGGATTAGCCTGGAGGAGATACTCCCCTAGGGTAGCTGACAAAGGGACAGCAATACATAAAGGGCGTGACAGCGCTCCTGCGAATGCCGCGCCAGGTCATGACCTCATTGTCGGCGGACCGCAAGTCGACATTGGATCTCGTGCCGGTGACGATGGAGCACCTCATCCGTCATTGCAATCACGGTGAAGCCGCTCTTGGAGCGATCGACGAGTCCTTGACCACGATGGGGATGAAGGCCGAGCTGGTGCGGTACCGCGACTTCCTGGTTCGGGAACCCGCCACTGTAGCATCCAACTTGAATCCGCAGCTGCCGAACACGACAGACCAAGACGAGCTGGCTACACTGAAGGCCACGATCCGCTCTGTCATGCAGCATCGTGGCTCGGGACGTGCTCGCGATCCCGCTAATGGCAGTCGCTGTCCATATGGAGGAGGGGTCGCTGTTAAGCACCTTATTCAGCAACGTCGGCAGCTCCGTTGACGACGGCAATGAAGTCGATCTTTTTCTGAGCATGGGTGTCATGACCGCCAGCGCCTTCACCGACGTTATGCAGCGGTCTCCCTGCAAAGAGCTGTTCCCCGCCCACTACAAGGTGGCCTGCGGCTACTTGGGAGCGCCCGCGACGTCAACTCCCTGCGAACACGCGAATAGCGGAACCGGGCAGGAGTTCACGTGCGTTTGCCAATCGCTGTCGTCAACGCTCTTCATCCAGTCCATGTGCTTGCGGTCGTGGATCGTGGCCGGCTGCCTGAAGGTCCCGTCTAACCGGGCCGGAGCGGCGCAGGATCTTATTGCCCGTTGTTCGTCCGAGGACGACGGTAATGACGAACTTGTTCAGGTTGTTGATGAGATCGTCATCGACCAAGACAACTGGGACGAGGAGGTTATGGAGGATGGTGTCGTCGACAGCCTCATAGTCCGATTCGAGAGTATTCTATACGAATAAAATGCTCTACCTCGCATTTACCTGTTATAAACCTTTTTCATGTGTAGTACCCCGGTAATTACCCTGTAATCGGGTAATTTGTATGGAGTAAGGGTAAAAGGTAGGCTCATTGCTTTTTTACTTTTACCTTACCTTGCTAAAGGGTAAAAGATAAGGGTTGAGTGATTGTATTGTGGTAAGGTAAAAGGTAGGATAAAGGTAGGCTCGTTGTTTTTACCTTTTACCTTACCTTGCCACGGACTAATTATAGACTGCCAGTATGCTCACTCAGGTTAATAACCATTGCTACAGTCTATATTATAGACTGCCAGTACACTCACTCAAATTAAGAACCAGGCTAGTCTACATTAGTGGATCTTTTTTTATTTCAATTTTTTTAATTCACTTTCTTTATCGAAAGAACCAAAGAATATGCATTTCTAAAGTACTATGTTTAACTTCCCTGCACGTGTGAATTCTATTTTATTTTACCAAACTTACCATGTGCGGTTACTCAATATAAGAGGAGCAAATGTTGAATACAGTTTAACACGGAGGCTTTCGTGACCAATATTATCCATAAGAGGTTTTTTGGGTTAGATCGCATAAATATCTGTCGTTAAACCTGCCAGCACCTGACACAGCCAATAAGTAAGGTTTGTCACGTAAACAAAACATGCCTATTTGTTACTCGCACAACACACCGGTGTGTTGGAAAGTAAACCCACAACATTTACAATTTGAATACGACGTTTCGACAGTAATTACAAATAGCATCAGCATTGGCTGTCGCCTGATGATGCTCGTTGTAATTACGGCCGAAACCTCCATTATGAATGTTGAATGCGTTGACTCATTCAATCGACCAACCGCATTGGACTGGTATGGAACTTGGTGCATGTGAATACATATTTTAGGCGTCATAGCTTCTGAGCTTAATCGGTTTTAATATGCCAAGAACGATTATAGTTACTTTGTCCACATTAAATACTGTCTTGACCCAGCAGGTCAAAACCGGTCCAGAGTTTGCTTGCTTAAACAAATGCTGCTGGATAATAATGATCTGAAAAGAAAGTTAGCCGATGGACTAAAACAATATTTGTATTTACATGTGGAGAAATGGAACAAAGATTTGCTTATATATGCTTTTACCCATAATGCTACACAGGAACATAGAATACGTTTGTATACTGTATATTAAATGCTTGACTGTCTCAAACATCTAATGTGTCTCCAGCATAAAAAATAAAAACCTTGTGGGATATTTGGCCCGTTCTTTACTGAGCATATTTAAGGAAGATAAAACCAGAGTACACAAATTCATGCAGATGAAGGATTAAAATATTAAGCATCCCTCTCCTAAAATAAGGTTGTGTTGATCTCCATTGGACATTGCCACGACTAATATTTTGAACGCTGCTGATCTATTCAGGAATTGAAACTAGTTTTTTATTTTACCAGGTAAAGCCCACCGACCTATCAGCTCTTTTTCAGAGGTGACCTGGCCACACAAGATAGCTCATTAAAGTGGCTTATAAAACGTGGGAATTTATGGTAGCAAATTAATCCAATTAAGGAAATAAAGTTAATATAATTAAGAAACTAAGAATTAAGTAACTAAGTGACCACAGATGTCGTTTCTGCACTGACCCTATGATGGCCAGTGAAAGCACGTGGCTCGGGATGAAAAGCGAGCCCACTTGGTGTTTTGGTTAGCTGAGGAGAGCTGTCGTGGTTCATGTGGATAAAACAGATTCAGCACACCACTTCCCAGTGATGCTGGAAACAGCACAAAATACACCCATGCCTTGGTATTGAATTCAAGATCTGAGCGACCATCATGCATCCCTCCTGAAAAACAAGAGCCAACACCCAGGACCGCAGCATGGCTCATCGTCACCAAAACAGCCATCATGAACCCTTTTAATCAAATAAATTTGTCCCTCGTACAACAATTGGTGCCAGGCAGTAGAAAGGGAAAGTGGAAGCCAAGGGAGGCAGCGAGTCTCACTTGGATGTTTGTGCAACAGCGTGGGCAGGCCTTGGCATTCTGGGCAAGCCAGTCCTTGGAGTGCACCTCCTCAATGGCACGCTTGATCGTGTGCTTGCCGTAGCGCTGCTCTAAGAATGCCCTGGATGCGGCGTCCGCGTTGTTGTACTTTTTGAGGATATTCTCGAGGTTCTCTGATAAACAAAAACATAAAAGAAAGACAATTCTAGCAGCCGTACTATGTAAACTGCACAATTAAAAGAGGATTACTAAAGAAATTACTTGCTGAATTTAAGGGCTATGAAGGTCGTAAGTCTACCAAAGCTGGATCAATTAAATTTCCTGTTTGGCAGTCAATAAACTTGTATTAACAGGATAAGCAGGGAGAAGAATGCAAGTTACTACGACTCATTTAGCTTTAAGAATCAAAATAATGTCAAGAGTGCTGAATAGTTAAGCATGTTGCTTAAATAACATATACCTGAGCGACTCAATATTCTTACTAAACTCTAAAATGGCAAGAGCTGAATTTGCCAGCTCTGGTGGGTCTATCGTCAAACATTGGATGAAGGATATGGTTTCCAAATAAGGTGGCATTTATTATGCCTACTTCGAGATAGCTTTTCTTCATACCCGAATTTTGTTGTTGTTAACGATTCAAATAATTCTCCTCCTGCTTAATTATGCAAAGATTTGCCACTGATCTCTGCTGGTGGCCCTTAGCCAAATGGGGGGAGGGGTGGGGGTAGGAGGGGAGGGAGATTCCACATTCCCATCAGAGGGGCTGGGTCTATTGAAAGGGTAAATGTGGAAGACGAGATGGCATGAACATTTGTGTGGTTATGTTAATATTAAAAGATGGGCTTCGGTGTAGCCATTACTTGACAAGAGAAGGATTTTCATAGAAACAATTGTGCTCACATAGACTGCATGTTTGAAAACAAATAAAACTCTGCAGCAGTTATCGAAGTGAAAAACGTTACAATTCTAATAACAATTGTTATACATAATCAGATGGCATGCTCTGAATAAAAAAAAGACAAATTCACAGACAGCAATTGCACAGGATTGTTGGTATGGTGATTATTCTAAATGTAGGTGTCTCACAAGCTACGTGCATTATCTTTATTTTACAGAAGGGAAAATTGCAGGTTACACGTGTATTAGAACAACTGTAATTGTATGACGCATGGCAATGGAAGGAAAATATGCATGCATGGACACAAATTGCAGTTTAAAAATAGGTACGAGTAAGCTCATGGAGAACACATTACAGATTTTGTTTCTATAATTCAGTAACCAAAGTATCTATTCCAGAAATATTCACAGGTTCAAAGTGTACAATTTGAATACCTGGCAATTACTTAAAACAGTCCTTCCCTCTCAAACATTTCAAGGAAGATGCACCCTCAAAATAGCACTAATATTGTAATACATATCTAGGCTACATGTGTCCTGTGCTGTCCAACATGACAATATTGTACATTCGTAAAGACCATATTTTTAGGATGGCATTTTTTTCTACTTAAAGTATGGCAGTCACACGCCAGTGACATCTTTACGATAATCATAAAAAAACACACATGACTAAATCCACTTTCAGGGCTGATGTAATTTGGTAATATCACGTAATTGCATTCCAAGTTAAATTGATTCCTTGAGCTTCAAATAGACATTTAAAAGCATGTGTAATAGGTGCTCAAAATTTCATAGACACGGTAAGCTGAGCAAGTGTGACATGTCATATATGACAAAACATATTTGTGGCAGGACGGTGGGTTTAACTATGTACGTTGCTTTTCGGAGGTGATGTAGAACACACAGCCATGGTTATAAATTAGTAATACAGTACATTTTAAAGTGTGTATACATCTGCAGCACTTAAGTCAATCTGCTGTTGGATGAGGGCCTGCCCATTCCGTGTGGGTTAGTTTGATCAAACTTCACCGTGCTGGTCAGCATGGGTTGGTGGAGATGAGCATAGACATGGAAGAATATAAGTGCAGTACAACAAATTATTTTACTGATTTGCCCTCTGTTTCCCACAATATAACGTTGCAATTTTGTTATAGTAATAATATAATTGGTTGTGTGACATGTGTAGTGAGTCCAACTGAGTCGCAGACGTTATCTTGGGAGCAACACTATTTATTCCGCAACTGAACACAACATTACACAATCTACACTCGGGTCTCGAATGCCCATCTAACCACGCTACAGCAGAACGAGACACGGTTCGCTATCCCGGCCCGGACCACAAGCTGGGTCCCGGACCGCGTGGCGAGAGGCTTCTTCTCCCCTACGTGGATCTTCTTCACACTAGCAAACAAAGAACCTCGAGCTCCTCACGGGGCCCGGCGTTATATGCCCCTGGGCTGGGGCTGGCTCCGCCCTTCGCCCCGCCCACCTTCCAGATCTCTCGAGCTCTTTCTCGAAGGTTTCCGAGAGCTCTTTTAGACCACGTGACCGCCCAGCGGCCCCCGTCCACCGGTGGCCACCCTCCAATATCATCCAGTCATGTGTCAGCAGGTCAACCAGCGTATCACGCCCCAACCTAACCCTGGCTGGATGACGCTCCTTCTCGCTCCCTCACCGGGAGCCCGCACCGCACACTGCTCGCAGTGCCTCCGCGCTGACCAGTGCTCACCCAAGCCCCGCTAGGGCTGGTACTACACCTCATAACCGGGCTGCCCATAATGACAACACATTATCCGCCGTGGCTTCGTAAGCCCGGCACCACACAGTGACAATCACAGTCACTACACGTTGTGTGGAGTAGTAGATGACGTCATGTCACCCTGGGGTATAGAATGGATGACGTCATGTCACCCTGGAATATATAAGCTGGGACCGGTGACGTGAACGGGATCGTCGTCAGGGGCCGGGAACAAGAGAGGTTGGAAGTGGGGACCAAGGGTAGGGGGAAAAATAGCACTAGGCTAGGGTGGCTACTTCACCCGGCCAACCGAGTTGGTCAGTGCTGAGGGAAGAGCCTGAATAGCCTGGGTGGGTGCTAGGGACCTCCCAGTACCCTTTCCCTGGGGAGATATATGATAGTCAATAATAACTATTAGGCGTAAGCCCCTACTTAGTTCCTCGGTGTAAGCTCCGAATAAACCTGGCGTGAGCCCTTACCAGAAAATACGTCTCCGTGTCGATTCTTGAAGTGGCTTCCGCGCTCGCCGCCATGTCCAAGTCCGGCGCGAGACGGAAGATCACGCCTGGGGCGCAGGCCAGTGAAGAAGACAGCATCATGGAGAGTCTGACGACGATCCCGGAGAGATGTGCCCCGCGGAGACGGCTCGGGTGGAGCCGGAGGAGGCGGCGGCCGGAGGAGCTGTCGCGCCGCCATACGATGCATGGCGTGACATCGCGGCCAAGCTGGAGCTGCTCCAACTCATGATGGCGCAGCTCGACCGTCGCGGTGGCCCAGGTGGGGGTTCGTGCACACACGCCGGGCGACGATTCCGCCAACGTTCGCGAGTTGGAAGACGTCGCGTCTCCCGCCAAGTTCGAGCTTGGCGCCAACTCGCCGACAGACGCGCCGCAGCGTTTGGGCGCCATTTTTAATGTGACGCCGGGACCGGGCGCCATTGTTAATGCGACACCAGAAGCCGCCGCCATGACACCTGTCATGGCCGCGCCCATGGGCGCCGACGCGAGCGCGAGTTCGCCGCGAGCCGCGGTGGCAGGGCTCGCCGCGGCCGCGGATGCGAGTCCCCGCTGGGCGCCGGGGCTGCCGGGGCTCAGCGACCAGGCGTCGCGGCTGCGGCCGTGGGATCGCCGGCGGCCGCCGATGTGGGTGAGTCCGGGCCGGGGGAAGGGTCGGCTCACCTGCGGCTGCGCCGGTTGCCCCGTCGCGCCATTCGTCGGGTAACGGGGCGACTGGCTCAGTCAGTGCGTTGGCCCGCAGAGGAGGCGCTGCACGCGCTGCCCGCGCTGCCAACGTGTCTGGATGAAAGGGCGTTGCAGGCGTTTTTGGCTATCCCACTGGCGAACAAGGCGACGCTTCAGTCGGCCTATCAACAGATGGCCGCGGTGTTCGAACCACCATCCGCTACGCGCCTTAAGTTTTCCGTGCGCTGGCGGGAGAAGGGGGAGTCACCCCTCGCGTTTCGCTGCTCCCTCCTGGCGCTGGCTCGGGCCGCGTACCCCGACCTGGAAGGGAGGGCGCTGGACTCCTTGGCCCTTGAGAGGCTGTTGATCCTCGCGGGGGAACTGGGCATCGCACTGTCCATCGCCGAGGAGTCGAAGATCACATCGTTGACGCTGCGACGGCCACCCGTGGTGGCAGCGTGCACGGGGGTTCCGGCGTCTGCAGCGAAGGCAGCGCCTTGGGAGGAGGACGCCCTCGCGGCCGTGGTGGCCTACGACCGCCGCGGTAGGGGTAGCGCTACTCGCCGGTTGGAGAGGCGGTGGCGAGCGGGTCCTCCTCGTTCGCAGGTCGGGGGGAAGGTCACCTGCTTCTGTTGTGGCCAGCGGGGCCACTGCGAGTAGGGCTGCAACAACGCCCCCGGGGACTTCATCAAGGCCTCCCCCCTCCTGCGAGCGGCTCTCCGACGGCGGGACCTTCGGGGCCACAGGCAAGTCGCGACGCATCCATCGCACGGCCGCTCCCTTCACCTCATGCATCTAGCGGGGTTAGGGTCCATCCTCAAGGGGTCATCTCTGGGGGGTCCGACACGTGTCCCGCACGGTTGCGCCCATCGATTGGGTGGCCCAAATGGACTCGCCAGTGGAGAGCCCTCGCGCATCGCGTGGTGGCCGCTATCGCGGGGTCCTCGGCCGTTATGGGGCGCGTGCAGGGGGTCGAGGTGCGGATCCTGGTGGACACGGGTGCATCCGCCACCATGGTTTCCGAGGCCGTTTTTCATTTGCTGCCGTGCAGCGTGGGGCCATTGCGGCCGGTTCGCGGGGCTTGCGTGGCCGCCAACGGGAGCAGCCTCGGCATTTTGGGCCACGTCGTCGCGTCGGTAGCGATCGGCGAAATTGAAGGGGCCCATTTTGGTCTCCAAGACCTTGGCCGTACCATGCCTCGTGGGCACCGATTTTTTGGCCAGGATGCCCGTGCGTATCCTGGTCGACCAAGGGTGCGTCGAGATGCTGTCGGGGGGGCGGTTGCATTTCCTGAAATCTCCCTCTGTGTTGGCCCCTCTGGCCGCTAGTGTTCGGGCTTTGACCACAGAGTCGGTGACAGTCCCACCTGGGTCGCAGATCCTGCTTCCCCTCAGTCTGCACGGGCCGTTGAAATTGGAGTCCCCGGAGACAGGCATTCTCCTGTCTTCCTCCAATTATTTTTCGAGATTCGACAGGTTGGTGGGCGCTTTCACAGCCGTGTCGGCAGGCTACTTCATTTTTCTTAAATCCCCTGCCTTGTCGCCACTTACGTTGCCCCGAGTGGCGACTCTGTCCTGACTTATCGGGTTCCGTGCTGCCCTAGTGTTGTGTTCCCGCTCGCAGCCGATCTTGTGTTCCTTGTAATTGTGGCTTCCGCCCGGACGGACTCCGCTCACGTAATAGCCGCGTCGGCTGTTTTTTTTTTTCACGGGGGGGGGGTTATTTTGTGGAGTAGTTGATGACGTCATGTCACTCTGGGGTGTAGAACGGATGATGTCATGTCACCCTGGAATGTAAGCTGGGACCGTCGTCAGGGGCTGGGAACGAGAGGTTTGAAGTGGGGACCCAGGGTAGGGGGAAATTAGTACCAGGCTAGGGTGGCCACTTCACCCGACCGACCGAGTTGGCTGATCTCTCGGTCGGTGCTGAGGGAAGAGCCTGAATAGCCTGAGTGGGTGCTAGGAACCTCCCAGTACCCTTTCCCTGGAGAGATATATGATAGTCCATAATAACTGTTAGGCGTAAGCCCCTACTTAGTTCCTAGGCGTAAGCCCCTAATAAACCTGGCGTGAGCCCTTACCAGAAGATACGTCTCCGTGTCGATTCTTCTATTTAAAACATGTATAGAGAAATTACCGCAGTTTGGATGGTTGTGAATTCGTCCCTATTGGGAATTGATTAGCCCTTCATCTGTATCGGATAAAGTATCACTTTGTGCCAAGTCAACAGTGGTCATCCTTTGGAGAAACTGGCCTCCCATCGTGGGAACGTGGAATTTCTACCGCTGGCTCAGTCGTCAATGGAACAAATGCTATCGTTGAATAGCATTATTATTATTATATTGGGGTGGTTAGCACCCTGCGCAATGAACCTGCCGACCATCTAACATAAGTGCCAAGTGATATCTGAACAGATCTTGGGTCACCACCTTTATCAACCCGCCAGGTTAAGGATGGTAAAACAACAATCCACAACCAACAACGGATGGGGAGGCATTAATCTAGCAGTGCATGACAAAGGACTGTATATCTTTCATGAGATCTTGGAGATGTCTACAGGAATCGTATTATATTTTTTCCCCACCTTCGTTTATTCTTGGGTGCTGGCACTAAGCAGCAAGCACATGATGTGTAAGCAGCAATATATACAGTGTGTAACCTTCAAGCGTGTTAAAATATTAACACATGACATTTAAGTGCTGTCGAGAACAATGTTTCAAAACAGTAATATAGCCCATTGTGCAGTACGGCAATATAAAACTCGGCAAATACTTTAAAATATCTTTGTGAGACAGGAATGTGTGTTGGACTCTTTAAAATAAACTAGTATTTTGTACATGTGTCACGTTTTATGCACAAGAAATACTTTATTTAGCAGTGACAGCAAGGAAAATCCCTTCTATGTGCCTACTGGTTTCATTCAGGTAAACGAATAAGCACAACTTAAATTCACCCTAATGTAGATACTATGCTGCCTACTTATTTGCTACAACTTACACAAGGCGAACACAGCACCAGCCTGCAAGTGGGCATAAGTCTGCCAGTCGGGGGCAATGTTGATATTTGTTTTCAACTAATGGGCAAATACATTTTTTTATTTGGAACCCCAGTATACGTGGCCTATATTTTTCCGAACATCACAGGATCATTAACATCCGCTGTGATAAACCGTGCATAATTTATGGTCAATAAACCTTGGCGCCCAGGCACTTGAACCACAAACCTTTGGAACAAACAGAAAATGCGTGAACGCTCTGTCATGTTACTGCCCCGCATGGTAAATATTCACCCTTGTGACTTGCATGCCTCCTGCGATAACCAATAAAACCTACTCATGTGGCTGACGACATTATGCATGTCACTTCAAAACACCTTGTAAATACAACCATTTTGAGTACAGGTGTGCAATTGTATACATATCTAATTGCTTTTCAGTTCAGCGTCGAGCATGTTAACCATGAACATGCGTTTAAAATTAAATTTAAGGGCTGACTTTAATTAATGTTAGGGGGCACTGTTGTGAGTACATTCAACTCACAATCAGACAACTGCAAGTTAAAAACCCTATATTATAGCAATGAAATGCAACTACATCTCAAGCCACTGCACAAAATAGTGGGGCATTTACATCACGCAGGGGGGAATGAGCTGAAAAAAAATCTGCGTATATATTACATATAGGTATTTTTTGTAGAAGAGAATCATGGCTGATGGATAAGAGCAAAGCATTGAGCGTGGACTTCAATAGGAGCAGGTTGGCAGCTTGAATGGCGAGGTGAAGGAGTTCCAGCACAATGGGCGTAGCAGAGGAGAATAAGCAACCTCACATTTGATCATATCTGGAACAATGATGGACTGTCAGAGTGGTTGTGCTAATGAGCGGCTGCTCTCTGGGTCTGCCCGAGCTGCTACTCCCTGGGCCTGCCCGAGTTTCTGCTAACTGGGCCGCCTGCCTGAGTTCTTGCTGCTCCCTTTCTGTACTGCCTATTTGAAATCATACGAGACAAACCTAACTAGATTGTTGGTTTGTTGGCGTTATCTATGTGCAATGTTTCTCTATAAACTCCCCTCTCTCCACCTTCTGTTAAATGCCACCCTTCTTACACACCCTCCCTCCCATTCTGCACATCCACTACATCATCCCACCCCCTTTTCCCCACCCTACCCAAAAGTTTCCCTCTGCATGGAGTGTCAAGTCCCTTATTTTTCCCTCTTCCACTTTCCTCCCATTATTGTCTTTCCTTAGAGCCTCTCCTACCTGCCACCCATCATTAAAAGGCTGTCGTTTACCCCTCTCAAATAATCTGCTCTGTAAATGTCTGGTTGTGTTTCTAATACTGGGTGGAATCGAGGTTAAATCCCATCTCAATTCTGAATTCTTCTGTACATGTCATATCTTAATTCTGGTGAATTTGCAAACAGGCTTCTAGATTGTCCACGTAAACATAAGAGGATAATTGTGCAAATTTGACCAATTTTAACGAGAATTTCATCACCTTTGTCCAGATATCATTCCTCAGATTTGTAATAAACACGATATAAATGAGTAACTATACTCTATTTCATCTAGATAGCGGTCCAAGGTGGTGGCATAGTTATTTACACCCACAATAAAACACCATCCTCTCGAACCCATTCTGTTACGAATAAAAGGTTATGTATAAGTAGTCATCATAAATGCCACTGAAGCTGGCAACCAAATCCTCCCTTTAATGTGTGGCTATAGACCACCATAGATGGCTAATCCAGCTACCGCCATTGCAGAGTTTAGAAATATTAGATTCACTCACCAGGAACGAATGAGTAATTATTGGAGATTTAAAATGGAATTGGCTCAACCCACCAGATGAGGTTCAAACCTTTGTTAATTGGTTCAACTTCACTCAGCTAATCGACTCAGCAACGAGCTCAAAAGCAGATAAAATGAAGAACGAACCTTTATTGGATGTACTGTTGACTTATGCTACGTAAAAATTATCTCCAGTCATCATACATGGAAATCATAGCATCATTAACGCACTCGAAAAAACAGCAATTTAGACATGAGTTGACATCCAAATGGGCCATCTACAAGCCTTCAGCCAAAATGTTCTACATGCAGACAAGAAAATGTTTGTCCCATCTCAAGCCTCACCACGTTTATGTAGTAATGGTAATCTACCCCAAGCTTTTAATTTCCAAACAATCACAGTGCTGACATACCAAGCCAACTAGCCTCACTCAAGACAATCGATACACCTCCTGTCCATCTTATATAACTTATCACTCAAGGAAGCTTCAGTACACAAGGAATGGAGAATTCCTTCCATTTGTCTTATTCAAAAAGGTGGCTCTACAAGACGACCACAACAATTACAGGCCAATATCAACACTGGTTGAAGGCCTGCAAGAGCCACCCCAACACTCTTGAGCAGAGACACTTTGACCTTGAGTTGAGTCTACAATAATCTGCACTCTAAAAAATATTTTTGTTAAACTATTTTTTGTTCTCAAGTGCAAGGTACCCTTAAATACCATACAGCATTTGCTGATATTCATAACAGACCGAATGATCTGGGTACACCCGCTCAAATGACGGATGACAAAGAAAAAAAACAATGTGTACACACCTGATTTAATGATGCAGGCCGAGATGCCGTGGTAGGCGTGCCTGCACACATTGCAGAACGCAAATTTACACTGGGGGCAATGGCCCATGGTTTTGTTAGGCTCCAGCAGCACAGGGGTCTGGCAGCTCGTGCGCGGGCAGTACACCACATCAGCCATGAGGTCTAGGCTGGACTGGAGCAGCAGGCGGTCGTAGCGAGAGAACAGCTCCTCTCCCACCAGCTCTCTTACCTGTGCAATGAACACAACACAATCCGAACCACTGAGGAATTGCCAGAACGGCTTTTTCACAGTAAATGGTCGTTGAAACAATGGAAATATTTATCAAATCCCTTCCACCTCTGTCCACCAAGCAGTATAAATGGGTACATTAAGTCCTCGTTTAACATGGTAGATGCGTTCTTGAAATGTGGCGTGAAGCGCAAAAAAAAAAACGCGTGAAGCAAAACGAATGCCCCCATGAAAAATGTGACAATAAAATTTGGCGAGATAGAATGTACTATGCGCACACAATAGTGGAATAACTGAGGGTACGCCTCCGCGTGACCGTATCATTCCGCGAACTGTATCGTACCGCTCAGTCGCTCAGCTTAAAAAATTATTTCGTCGTCGACCGCTCAGAAACCTCGTTTTAAGGGTGCGAGTTCCAAATTACAATGGACGCATTCTGCGCTGTGCAAAAAGCGTTCCCTAATGGAAGAATCGTGTTATAGCAAAAACGCATCAATCAATCGACATTTGGTGTGTGGCAGGGTAAAGTGCGGGCACTCCCACATTTTCTAAGACGTCTGACCACTGTGGAAGAGTAGGACAAATACCCTCTAGTGGGTTCTCTAGAGCGCCCTCTAGTCGAGGCTTGAGCAAGCAATTTTAAAAGGGCAAATACCACATTTAAATGAAGTTACATCTCATTACTTGCCTGAGATGGGGTAGCAACTGTCTGGCACTTGGGCTCTGGGCAGGTGAGGCTGTGCACATTGCCCTCCTGTATCTGCAGCTGGAAGTAGGCACTCAGGCAGTCGCGGCAGTACACGTGCTCACAGCCGCTCAGGTTCACGCATGACGAGCCCAGCTTTTCGCACAGGCAGATGTGACAGCTGAACACGCGGGCCGAGAACACCTTCTGCCTCTGCGCCTGGTCGTAATCCAGCAGCTCACCGTACAGCGAGGACCAGGACTCACAGGTCTGGATGGCCCGTGGGTCCAGCAGTCTCACGTCGCCGGGAACCCGTTTGTGCCGCTTCGCCTCACCGTGCGCGGCTGGTGGCTGCGATAGACCCGCTCGCCCACCGTCGACTGCTGCGGTTTTGACGAGGTCCTCGGGCCCCGCTTCTGCCCTGACCGTCTTGCCATGATCACGCTTGCGTGTCGTTCCACCGGCAATGGACTTGACTTCCAGGGGTGGAGCAATTCTGAGAAAATCCAATGTGTCTTCCTTCAAGAACTGTGACCAAGTATACAAGATTTCCATGCCTCTGTTTTCCTGCCATAGCTCATCCATTGTGTGGCAAAGCCATGATAACTGTACAAGGAAACAAGTAAACACGTGATGATAACTATTTAATTCATAGAAAGAGCAGCAAATGAAATGGAAATGTAAAATATAATATTACGAAGTGAAACATATATAATTAGTTATACTTACCACCCTTCTAAAATAAATATACTGCAATGGCACATCAACTGGTTGAAATTAAGGATGATCACAAACACATGATCACAAATTTACTTCCAAAGACATAATGAATACCATTGTATTCTTATTACAAAAAAATGAAAAAGTACTGAAAACCCATGATCTATCACAAATTTTCATGCAAGTTCTTATAATAAGCACATTACGTTGAAGTAGGGTCTAGAACGACTAAATTAGGGACATTTGTCTTTTTTGTTTGTTTTTATAAGTAAAAAGTTAAAATGTTTGTCAGGGACTCAGTCCACCATCTGTGAGGTTGATTAAATGACAATAACTCTGTGGGAAGTGAATAGTGGTTGTTTTGAGAGTTTAATTAGCGGCCCAGGGGTCGCAATAAAGATGAGCACCACTGAAAAACAAAGGCATTGAGCATTTTGACCGTTTACAAATATATTTTCACTGTCCCGTCTAGATACACAACAAAATATTTCTATGTACTCACCACATCCACAACAACACGAATCAACATTTCCGACAAATGATGTATTTGCAATATCAGTGTTTGTTATAATAAGGAAGTCTTGACTACCAAATGTTTTTTTTTTACAGAAGAACCAAACAAACAAATGCTGTGATGACATTTGCATTGCCATAGTTACTGCTGACATAAGACATTCAAACTTGAGAATCTTGGAGGTGGCCGGGTTGCCCAGGGGGGCTAATACCATGCCAGAGCGCAGGGCTAACAACACTGCTGAGATTAAACTAGGTACTCATGTATAGGATATCGTCACCTAACTTGGCATTATCCAGTTCTTTACAATGATCTTTGCATGGCATACAACAAGGTGTAGAATAAGATGCTTAATAAATTGACTTCAGAAGTATTTATTTATTGTCATTGTTCAATCTGACACAAGTTGATCCAATGCTCTCTGCAATAGTCATGCATTGAAATGTTGTCATGAAAATAAGTTGACACCAATAATAATTAGACTAATTAAAATAACGTTAATTCCTTTGTGAATCCAGTGTATGGATGAAGGCATCTCCATGCCATATTATTCATGGGGGTTGTTTAACCGTACTTCACACCCTCTAGTCTTTGTGGATTGCAGATGAGATGCATACAACCAGTTCAGACACATTGGCCAGGAATCAAACTGAGGTCAACATGTATTGACCATTACACAACCACTCCCTCCCATGACAGCAATCATCATTAACAGCAGCCATGCTCTATCCACTGCTGGATAATGGTTTCCTCAAATCATCGGCATTCCTCACGGGCTCACCAACTGAATAACTAAATTACAAATGGAAAGGCTAAACGATATACGTGTAAGTCCTCGAACATCTGACCTGCTCGCGCGACAGCCATTTGCAGGATATTGTGAACTGTGGGGGAGATGTTGAAGGGTAGTCGGAAGGCAGCTCAAAATTCATCACCAGTGGAGGAAGATGCTGCACCACAACGCATTCACCCGGCCCAGTACCTCCGCTGCCTGCACAACGCCGTCATTGTGGTTTCATCATGGACAGCCACACATGTGCACATTGCATTCCATTAGGGCATGTGCCCATCAACTTTGTTCACAATAAACACTAGATTTAACATCGTATAGTGGTAACTTCTATTACGTTCGCTGTCATAGCTATTTGTACAATAACCGATAAGCTAGATTGAAAACTAATTTCTTTTGAACTGCTGTTTGTGTTTAGTTTGTTGTCCTTCCTCCGCACCTCCGATTAGCACGGTTGGCTACGTACGGTGCGAAAGAGGTTCAACATACATACATGTCCAAACAATTATAAGGATGTTTAAATATTACACTCTGAAAGCAAAATCATCCTTCCAAAGAAAAATGGATAACTGTTGTAGTAAAATTGTGGTTATAAAATGTATTAGGAAAACCTATCCAGTATATTTCAGATGTTATTCAAACCAATATCTGATTTAACACTCTTGTATCCAAATTGTCAATGTCTTCCTTTAATCTCAGTCGATGCAGTAAAAAGGTATATACTTTTTTCCAATCTTAACAATGAGTACAATAACTGCAGTAATAATCATAAAACATAAAAGAAAATAAAAAATAATACATGTTCCATTTGTAGAGTCCAATGCAAAGTAGGCAAAATATACCTGACTGTGTGCACAACCCAACACTTTATGGAGATATGGGTTGTTACGGTTGAAAGATACAAAACTTTCAAGAACCAAAAATGTGGACACATTTTAAATAAAATAACCAATTAGGAGACTAATAGCCAATAAAAAGTAAAATGTATGAATCTGGGACAATCTCTATAAATGTCTCTGAGTTTGCAATGGAAATTACATATTCCAAATACAGTGCCCAGACTCCCAAGTACGACTTTAGGCTTCCTACAAAGTGGTAATTATTGTATTTAGCCAGGCAGAATGGTGCCCTCCATCAACTCTGGCTGATATTTGGACTCACAACCAGCCAAATAAAAGTACTCATATTATGTTACATATGCATAACCCAAATACTAAATTGACAAATACATTATATTATAATTTAACGTGCTTTTCTTTTGCTCAGCAAATACAAATGGTCACTCAAGCACGTGACAAACATCATTTTGGTTGACGAAACAAAAAAACACAAATGCCAATCAGCAAAACTGTGCAAGATGCCAGAATGACCTCAGGAATGAAACCACGTGCTATAACTACTATGAAATCATTAACAGTTACTGGTCTCCGAGTGACTTTTTAACATTTATTATGGTAAGCATTCATACTATTTAAAAAAAACTAAAATCCCTTGTAAAATTGTTATTATGGTCGCTGAGCGCAGGCCACACATTTTCAAGCACTGAGCAAACCAACACTGTTCAAGCTGTATTAGAGAAGAGTTAAAACGTCTATTGGGTTGCGCAAGGTTGTGAGAACTTGCGAAAGAGATGATTGGGAGGGAATTACAATACACAATGTTGAGCAATTCAAGGGAATGAGCAGAATTAGAACTGTGTTGACATGCAGAACAGAATGTTGGTTGAACAAAGTGTGGATGAGATGAATTGGGTATGCATGTAGCATTTGATTTGTTTCTCCAAAATATTACACAATGTAATAATATCCCTATCACTACCATGCATTGTTTCCTCCCGGTGTACAGTGCACAACTTACAGGCTGAAGGTTTTCACAGGATGACTCAATGTATCATCCCTTCAGAGTTAAATGAATAAGGACTACTTTGTAGTGAATCAAGAGTGATTGTCCAAAAGAGGAACCGTCATCCACTGCACCCTCCCAACTTCTAAGAGGAATAAACAAACTGTGGAGTCATTAGCAACTGGGCTGTGAAGTCCATTTGCCCACCAAATATGGCCTTTTCTGCAAGCTTGGGTGACCCCATTGGGTTAAAAAACTGTATCTCAGGGTTTCTGGCTCAGTGCTATGACATAGTTATTATTATCACACCTAGCCATCCATCCACCTCTGGAAGAACAGAACAATTTACCTGTCATGATATGTTCTGCTCTATCAAGTCATTCAGTGTCCTAAAGTTCAAAAATGTTCACATGCTCAGTGCTGAAAGTACAATTGTAGTCGCATTTATGTTAACATATGTAAATTGTATGAAATAATCAATTATGAGTTGCCTATCCTTAAAATGGGAGCTGTATCAAGGTACATTGAGGGAAAAACGTATTTAATCCCCTGCTGATTTTGTACGTTTGCCCACTGACAAAGAAATGATCAGTCTATAATTTTAATGGTAGGTTTATTTGAACAGTGAGAGACAGAATAACAACAAAAATCCAGAAAAACGCATATCCAAAATATTATGAATTTGATTTGCATTTTAAAGAGGGAAATAAGTATTTGACCCCTCTGCAAAACATGACTTAGTACTTGGTGGCAAAACCCTTGTTGGCAATCACAGAGGTCAGACGTTTCTTGTAGTTGGCCACCAGGTTTGCACACATCTCAGGAGAGATTTTGTCCCACTCCTCTTTGCAGATCTTCTCCAAGTCATTAAGGTTTCGAGGCTGACGTTTGGCAACTCGAACCTTCAGCTCCCTCCACAGATTTTCTATGGGATTAAGGTTTGGAGACTGGCTAGGCCACTCCAGGACCTTAATGTGCTTCTTCTTGAGCCACTCCTTTGTTTCCTTGGCCATGTGTTTTGGGTCATTGTCATGCTGGAATACCCATCCACGACCCATTTTAAATGCCCTGGCTGAGGGAAGGAGGTTCTCACCCAAGATTTGACGGTACATGGCCCCGTACATCGTCCCTTTGATGTGGTGAAGTTGTCCTGTCCCCTTTGCAGAAAAACACCCCCAAAGCATAATGTTTCCACCTCCATGTTTGACGGTGGGGATGGTGTTCTTGGGGTCATAGGCAGCATTCCTCCTCCTCAAAACACGGTGAGTTGAGTTGATGCCAAAGAGCTCCATTTTGGTCTCATCTGACCACAACACTTTCACCCAGCTGTCGTCTGAATCATTCAGATGTTCATTGGCAAGATCCTCCCGTGTAGTTCTGGGCTGATTCCTCACCGTTCTCATGATCAATGCAACTCCACCAGGTGAGATCTTGCATGGAGCCCCAGGCCGAGGGAGATTGACAGTTCTTTTGTGTTTCTTCCATTTGCGAATAATCGCACCAACTGTTGTCACCTTCTCACCAAGCTGCTTGGCAATGGTCTTGTAGCCCATTCCAGCCTTGTGTAGGTCTACAATCTTGTCCCTGACATCCTTGGAGAGCTCTTTGGTCTTGGCCATGGTGGAGAGTTTGGAATCTGATTGATTGCTTCTGTGGACAGGTGTCTTTTATACAGGTAACAAGCTGAGATTTGGAGCACTCCCTTTAAGAGTGTGCTCCTAATCTCAGCTCGTTACCTGTATAAAAGACACTTGGGAGCCAGAAATCTTTCTGATTGAGAGGGGGTCAAATACGTATTTCCCTCATTAAAATGCAAATCAATTTATAACATTTTCGACATGCGTTTTTCTGGATTTTTTTGTTGTTATTCTGTCTCTCACTGTTCAAATAAACCTACCATTAAAATTATAGACTGATCATTTCTTTGTCTGTGGGAAAACGTACAAAATCATCAGGGGATCAAATACTTTTTTCCCTCACTGTAAGTCAAATTGCCTTCCTGCTCAAATGAGGACTTAAGTGATGCAATGGACATTTTCACTTACGGCTGTGACCCAGCAGTGGAAATTCTTACATTACCATAGCAAGAATCAGTCTCTCCAAAAGATGACTAGTTGATTAACCACAAATCAGAACTTATTTTACAGGCTCTGGAGGAGTGATGGTACGAGTCGACCTACAACTCAGATTTCGACTTCCAATGTTCAGATTATAAGTCAAGCACTCTGAGGACTGGCACCAGACCGTATAATTCAAAGTCAAAATTTCATTTGTCAACTAAATAAATAAACAGGCAATATGTCTGTCACATATCAGTCTCTCAAAACAGAAAATGCAAGTACTTGTCACACATCTTATCAGCCACACAGCCTTCTGGGAGTGTATCATTTCAGCGGCATTGTTTCAACAATGCAATCTCTGACCTGGGTTTAGCATTCTAAACTAAACTTTGCCACAAATGATAGCTCAACGAAATAGCTTATTCATGTGGGAATTTATATCAGCCAAATATTCGAAACGCATGTTTTTTAAATTTGCAGGGGAAAACCGGAGGACCCGGAGAAAAATCCACGCGACCATGGGGAGAAGATATAAACTCCAAGTATACAGGCGTCAGGGTCAGGATATAACCCACGACCTCCTGTATACCAGGTGAGGTAGTTAACATCTCGCCACCACGGCACATTCAGTGTCTCATCGGCGGTCAGGCTGCCTTGAACCAATGCTGGTGAACTGCTAGATGTTGATAAGCAAAGACGTGTAATGAATCAAGATCACCTGTCTTGATGTGTGTGCCTCGCACAGTGAAGCCCGCAGGTAGATCCAAGAAGATCCGCAGCTCTCCTCCCAAAACAGTCTCAGCCCGAAGAAATACATCCTCCCCGTATATACTACTCAGCGCCAGCAGCTCATTCTCCTGGGATTCGAAATCTTCCGACGCCATTTATGCCTGCAATGTCCTGACAAAACCAAGCAGAAATATATACAGGCGGTCCTGGACTTAACTAGGTTAGACTTACGTAATCCTAGTAGGTTCGGCTTACGTCAATCCGCACTTACGGCAGGTCGCCAAATGCCACCAGTGTTGTTATTTACAGTGGTCGGACCAACACATACAGCATGACATCGACTCAGGCGCCGGTTGTGGGCAAACAAACATACAGTACGTCACCCAGTCAGCCTGCCTCCCGATGCAGGGCTCCAGTGCTAAATCTCTGCATTCTTAGTGATTTTTATGTATTTTTGATTAATTTCATCCTTGAAATTGACCATTGCTCTAGTGATGGTGTTGAAAGGAAATGTAGCAGAAAGGTGATTACTGTATTCAGTCCAAATAGGCCATGGATTACGAAGAATCAAGGTAAGAACTTTCAAAACACTATTATTGTACCTAAAAATGATTGATAGTTGATTAATAATATTTACATTCACATCTATAAAAAGTTGCATATCGGACCCTTGGTCAGGAACGTATTATATCATTGTTTCTCTGGGAAAATCAGTCTTGACTTGCGTCATTTCGACTTGTGGCTCATTTTCTAGGAAGGTTACCTGACGTAGATCCGAGGACTGCCTGTATTTAAAGGGTAAAGGCGCAGCCCTGCAATTACTTGCTCACACTACTACTGGCAGGACCTCCGATAGAGTTCTAGAGTAGGCAAATAACCTGCAGAGGCTCTTTAGAGCTCTCTCTACAAGTGTTATCAACCTATTTCATTCCACTGCACACTTTCGATATTTCTCCATGTTGGCAGCAAAAGGAACCAAAATAATCACTGTGTGCATCCGGGTGGGTGTCTGGGGGTGGGGGCTGCGGTACTAAGCCGTGACCAATGGGAGACATGAGGATGGCCACTGAACAGCACCAAGAGTTTGTCTGTCCTAGTTTTCCAACAGCGAGATTATTTATTTTAATTTCCGAAAATACCAAGGCACACCTGGGACTTTGTCATTGTCCACAAGTGTGCTGTGGTTGTAAAGCACTTTTATAGAGTCGACAGGGTATTTACCCTACTCTTCAATGCTGGCCAGACATTTGGAAAGAGGTGGGAGGTATCCACATTTTACTGTCCTACACATGACCTCCAATTAGCATGGTAAGCTATGTAAGAACAACATATAATATAATAGGGTTTTTACCCTTTTTTCTGGCAACAAAACTGACACCTTTTTTACAAGGAATCATGTTTGCATTAACCACAATACCTGCGGTCAGAATGCAAACAAAAACCAACTCTGATAATGTATGCATTGTCCTTGAAATTGATTAGTCCACACCAGAGAGCTTTTCTTAGAGCCCAGTCTTACATGGTGTTGGACCAGATGACGCCAAAAGGCGCACAACTCAAAGACAACGCACTATCAGAGTATGAGCGCTCGGGGTAAGCATTTACATCATGAGGCCTCCTTTGCCAGTAGCAAAATATAATAGGTTTTCTACACTTTTTTTCTGGCAACATACATACACACTGGGGGGGGGGGGGGGTGGCACGTGCCCCCCTAATGATCCGATCGAAATCCCTAATTTCGATCAAATCATTGGGGTTTATTAGTAACTAGCTTTATTACAGGGCTTCGCCCGGGACTTGGATTTACGATGCCCGGCCACCTTTGTCTCCCCCCAGTGGCGATGTTCACACACCACACCAGTTACTCGTTTGAGGCTGAGTCGACTTAGGGGAGGCCCAGGACCGGTTCAAATAATCATCACAGGTGGTGGCCGTGAGCGGGAAGCCCAGCGCCCTAACCACTACACTACCGCTCCCCCCACACACACAAGGGTGCGCGTCCATAGGTACACGTACACACACTGGCTGCAGACAAACAACTTTCAGGGTGCATACGGCAGTAAACGACTGAAATAATAAAGCAATGCTGCGCAAAGAACGCCTTAGACGAGCAACACATTTGTATGGCACTTTACTTGCGGAGGTTTGGGGGGGGATGCGTGACATCAGCAGGCACACTGCGTAACGCTTCCGCATGCGGGTGACATCACAGATGTGACGTCACAACTCACTTCCCGTGCAAAATATATACATTCCACCCCCCCCCCCCCAAAAAAAAACCCATACAAAAGTCTATTTATTTTTTTATCTTTGCATGGTGTACAGTCTGGAAACTACCCACATGCCAAATTTCAAGTTTGTTGCATGTCAGGAAGTATGCTAAACATTTCGAACAGACACACATTCACAAATTTCCCTTTTATATACAGTAAAACCTTGGATTACGAGTAACTTGGTCTGCGAGTGTTTTACAAGACGAGCAATTCTTAAAAATACATTTTAACTTGATAAACGAGCAAGGTCCTGCAATACGAGTAGTACGTATATGCATTGTCTGCCGAGCGTCACGTGATCACAACTGAGCCAATGGTTCTTCTCTCTCTCTCGCTGCGGTATTGTGGGTAATCGTCTCCCATACTTGGTCTCAGTCGGCGTGCCTCACTCGTACAGTCAACATCTGTGTGAGCGTATACTGTTTACTATAGTGTTGTGATCATGTGTGTGTGCGTAAAGCATTTTTTTTATTTTGTGTCCAAGTGTAGTGACTGTTCTTTAGGAAAGCACCACCTGAATAAGGCTGTAGCAGTGCGAGCGATGCATCTGTTTAACGACAATGCCATGTCACATTTCCGCGAAATCCTCAAAAGGAGGCAAAAGCAAGTGTCATTGGATAGGTTCCTTGTTAAAGTCGCACAAAAAGAAAAAAATTCCAGTGAGCCAACAGATAGCAGTGATTCCGTTAGTGATGGTGAAAGTCGCCCTACACAATAACCCTCCTCCTCCTCTCCTCTCTCTCGTCTCCCTCACACCAGCCACGATTAAATTTAATTAATAAATTTGATTACAGTACTTTATATTAAATTTAAATTATAAAAATATAAAAATGTATTTTGTATTAATCATTTTTACATGAATATTTTTGGGTTGTGGAACGAATCATCCGAGTTTCCATTATTTCCTATGGGGAAATTCGCTTTGATATACGAGTGCTTTGGATTACAAACACGTTTCCGGAGCGAATTATGCTCGCAATCCAAGGTTTTACTGTATATAGATAAATCGGCATTTTGCGACCCCCACTGCCACTGTGTAGCGTATTATTACGTTCCAGGGACTCTATGAGATGATAGGACAATAGTTTGAGTCCAAAATTGGCAATAAGTAACGGCAAAGCAGTTATAAGTGACTCACAGAATTGTGCACAGTTGCGTATACAATACACGACTTCCCTGAAGGCATTCACCTTCAGCGAGCGCGATGCCGATCACACACGGTTCAAATTTGACCCTCGATCGATGGCTGCGCCATCACCGCACACGCGTCAAATAAAAATCAAGGCACAAGTCCTTACTTAGTAACAACTCCTATAATTTTTCATTGCTGAAGGGGTTGTCCCCCCCCACCTGAAAATCCTGGCTCCGCCATTGTACATACACATACATACATGACCTCTCGATTGACTGTGGTGTATCCATTTATACTACTGGGTTGTTGACAAAGGTGGATGGATATTGGAAATAGTTTTACAGGGGTATTTGCACATAACATATAAATATCCCATTACTGCCAGATGAATTGCAAAGGGAAAATATTAAACATGAACGATGTGTCCGAGGCCTTGGGAACACATTTACATAATATGCATTGTTTTGACATTTGGCAGGTCATAGCTGATACGGAATTGAATAGTTATAAAGTTAACATTTCAGCATATAGGTTTTGTAAATGAAGTGAAGTCATTTCAAAGCTTTGAGGGCAAACGACAAACTAATTTGAAACACTACAGTAGAAAAGTCTGAACAATGGGTAGCAAAAAGGCATTTGAGGCTTTGACAGGTTGGGATATACCAAAAGCTAATTTTCCTTTTAAGTTTATGGCAATTGTGAGTATGGCTCCGTTTTTTTTACAAACAACGGGATGTACTGTACTTTAAGTAAAGCAATTACGTGTCTAATTTATTTAATAGCCCATGCCCAAACAAGGCAGCCCCATCCCAGCTGTGGAAACGCCACAAAAGTGGCATAAATTATATCGATCTTGGCAGGCTAATTGGCTGAGTCGACCCTTATCCATGGTTTGAACTCAAAACCTTACTTCCAAAAAGTGTTTATCCCGATTGCACATATGCACACATTTACATGCGTTGTAAGTTAGTGTATTTAGACATATGTACATGTGCTATTTGTTACTTATAGCGTATACATGTTATAGTGTGCGCATACATGCACACACATACATGTGTTGTATGTTATAGTGCATGACATGTTACATTTAAGACTTTGCTGACAACTACTGTAATACAGTAGTTAGGGCAATATAGTACATTATTGTATAGTGTACAAGTCTCTCACGACATCTTGTGGCACAATGCGGCATCACATCTTATCTGCACAATTTTTCCAAATGTTATGTGATCACCGACTTGTGATGTAATGCTGGTTGGTTGGTGATACTTCTTAAAAGGGGCGTTGTAGCTTTCTCCCATATCACACATTGCAACCAATCTTTGGATTATTTCAAGGCAAAGTTAATCTACGCTGATTTTCTGCATATAACTTCGTTGTGATGTTACAATTGTTACACAACAGCCCTTGTAAATATTGTTTTGCAACAGAATACCATTATTTTACTGATATGCTGAAGTCATGCACAGCACGAGGCCCTGAGCCCAGTCCTCCTCTCTTGTCGTGATCCCAAAACCAAAGTACCACCTCAGAACCTAGCAGGGATCTTGGCGAACAAATGAACCTGCTCAGCCAATGAATAAAAAAACAGAGGCATTGCAGAGAAATGTTAAAGATGCAGCCCGTGTCGTTGCTTGCCCCATGTCACTGCTGTCAGAACAGCCACGAGAGGGAGGTCAAAAGCGCCCCAGGAAGCGATAGGGGAGGCCCTCAGTGGAACATACAGGCTGGCAAATCGCCTGATGAAACTGGTTGTAAACGCCAGCGAAACGTCGTACTCTTAATTGTAAATGTTGTTGGTTTACTCTCCAACCGGTGTGCTGAAGTAGTAACTAATTGGCACGTTTTGTTGACGTGACAAATCTTACTAATTGGCTGTGTCGGGTGGTGGTGGGTTAACGACACATTTATATTTACGCGATCTAATCCAAAAAAAACATTATTATGAATAGGGGAGACCCTGTAGAAGGTATTTGGCCTACTCTTCCACGCGGTTTTGATCTACTCTAACAAAAAAAAAACTTATTTTGAAACAAAGGTGCATGCTGTGAACTCGCATTCAGATATTTTTCCGCCAGTGTTGCAGTGGCATGGCCAACAGGGCAACCAGAGCCAAACGTGTGGTGTTGGCAACACTACAAAACAAACTTGCACAATTTAACTTTGCTTAATGTTCTCAGCCTTCATGTTCCCCCCCCCCCCTAGTTGACGGAGATTTTCATCTACAGGTGGTGATGTTAGCTTGTGATGACACTTGTTGAAAGCTGATGACTTTATTTAAAAAAGTGAGAAATAACCCACAATCCATCGTTCGCGTGCGTTCAGTGTTAACTAAACAAGGGGCAGACCTGGGGAGTCCCTTACTCAATGCCAACCTACACCAGAATCTTTATCCTGGAGAAATCCAATGGGCAATGAAGCTCTTTATCACAGATGTCCAGCAGGGGTGGGTAGGAAAGTCGCAACAATATAAAACACGATAGGAGTGAAAAAGGTAAGTAAATCACTAAACATAAATAAACTATATTCTTTGGGTAGTTCGGTAAAAATCACGTAGGTAGGTTCAAATTAATAAAAATAAACAAAAAACTACGATGTTTCGATCACAACACAAGCGATCGTCATCAGGAGGACGGTCGCTTGTTTTCCTCCTGATGACGATCGCTTGTTGTGATCGAAATTACGTTTTTAGTTTATTTTCTATGTATTAATTTGAACCCATCTACGTGACTTTACCGAAAGACCCAAATAATATGAATTCCTGCAGTCACGAAAGCCTTAAGTCAAGAGACAAATAAACTAAACTTTTAATTTCGATTTAAAGCTTTCGTGACTGCAAGGATTCATCTTCTTTGGTTCTTTCGGTAAAGTCACGTAGAATGAGAATAAAATAAAATTCTCACGACGTTTCGGCCACAACACAAGCGGCCTTCATCAGATCACAACACAAGCGGCCTTCATCAGATCTGAGGAAGGCCGCTTGTGTTGTGGCCGAAACGTCGTGAGAATTTTATTCTCGTTCTACGTGACTTTACCGAAAGAACCAAAGAAGATGAAAACTAAACTTTACTATTTTTTTTATTTTACTAGGTAAAGCCCACTGAGCTAATTCGTTGTTTTCCAGCGACCTGGCCACGAATGATCGCAGCCAAATACTTTAAAACACAGGTTTTAAAATGTGGAAGGGGGGGGGGACCTAAGGAACTGGAGAAAAATCCACGCGACCACGGGGAGAACGCGCAAGCTCCAAATAAATATACACAGCAGGCATCAGGGTCGGGATCGAACACACGTGGTCCTGCATATCAGGCGAGGGAGTTAACATCTCCTAGCCACCGTGCTCAGCAAGGGGCAGCGGGGAATGGGGCGAGGGAGGTTGGCAATCAAGTTTTTTTTTTTAAATCCCCCGCAACTCGTAGCGTGACACTTTTAACTTAAATCAGAGCTCTAAAGCGAGTTTCCAGAGTGAACGGTTTCAGGGCCTTGCATTATGAAGATGACGGTGTGGCGGGCCCCGCAATTTTTTTAACGCGCTAAAAATTACAACACTACAAGTTCACGTTACCAATTTTTTTTTTAACTCGAACAACAACGATGAAAATATCACTTAAGCGGTTTCAATAGAGCGTTAAACAAACAAAAAGATAATCATTTTAGCGGAAAAGGAGGGGGCAAACTTTATCGGCGTTTGCACTATCATCAAAGTTTTAATAACGCCGCGAGGTTGGGTGACAAACACACCGGCACCCACACGTTCGCAGTGCACTTACCCAAACTCGCACGTCTTTCTGGCGCTTGCCCTTGCCGTCAATCGCTAAGAGATTGCACGCACGTATGCAAAAACGTCTTTCTGCTGATCTTTAATCGCGAGAGGATTGCGGAGAATTCGCGCCGCCGGTCGCATCGTCCTTATCGTAGCCCTCTGCGGGTAGGCCTCCGCTCTAGAAATCCTACAACAGATAAGACGGAGAGGGGAGGGGAGGTGGGGGAGGTGGTGGGGGGAGGGGGGTTAGCACGCTCGCCTCCGATTGGTTGACCAGGCGTGACGTCGCGGCCACTTCAAATATTTATTTATTACCGCGGAAGGAATCCGATGAGCCGTAAAGCTCTTTTGCTCACCGGTGTCCAGTGAGGGGGGCCCACGGGCGGGGTCAGGACGTTACGCAAACAAACACTACGGGGGTGGGGGGGGGGGGGGACACGATGGGAGTGCAAAGTATAGTGAAGGTAAATAAATCGCTTTTAATACATACGTAGTGGAGTAGAAGATACACATGGGTAAATTGGCCATATACAGTACATACAGTGTGGGTCACGCAAGGTAGAGCAGGTGGTGAAGTCACGGGTGGCGTAAACAAAACAAAGTAATTAGGGGAGTCAAGGCACGAGGGCTGTGATTGGTCGAGAGGCTGTTAGCGTTAAGTGGCGGCGTCACGGAGTCTGGGCCGGTGGACAGGTGCGGAGCTGGCGGGGAAATGCCGGCGAGGCACGTGGCAATTAATTAAGGCTGATTGGAAAAGGGGATAAAACGCTAGGTGATTTGGACGGGGAGTTGAGTTGTTGTTGTTGGGGAAGTTGTTGGCGAGAAGTGGAGAGAGCAGCGAGAGATGCGAAGAGGGGAGCCGGCAAGCGTTAGTGAAGAATAGACTGAGAGCCGAACCCAGAGGACAGTAAATAGCGATAGGGAGAGTTAGCGTTAGCGGAGTGGTAGTCACGGTATAGGTAGGTACAGGGAGAGTTAGAGATAGACGAGTCACGGTGTGTGAAGAGATAGACGAGTCACTGTGTGTGAAGAGATAGACAGAGTCACTGTGTGTGAAGAGATAGACAGAGTCACTGTGTGTGAAGAGATAGACGAGTCACTGTGTGTGAAGAGATGGACAAGTCAGTGTGTGAAGAGATAGACAAGTCACTGTGTGAAGAGATAGGTCACTGTGTGTGAAGAGATAGACAAGTCACTGTGTGTGAAGAGATAGACAAGTCACTGTGTGTGAAGAGATAGACAAGTCACTGTGTGTGAAGAGATAGACAAGTCACTGTGTGTGAGGAGATAGACAAGTCACTGTGTGTGAGGAGATAGACAAGTCACTGTGTGTGAGGAGATAGACAAGTCACTGTGTGTGAGGAGATAGACAAGTCACTGTGTGTGAGGAGATAGACAAGTCACTGTGTGTGAGGAGATAGACAAGTCACTGTGTGTGAGGAGATAGACAAGTCACTGTGTGTGAGGAGATAGACAAGTCACTGTGTGTGAGGAGATAGACAAGTCACTGTGTGTGAAGAGATAGACAGGTCACTGTGTGTGAGGAGATAGACAGGTCACTGTGTGTGAGGAGATAGACGAGTCACTGTGTGTGCGGAGATAGACGAGTCACTGTGTGTGAGGAGATAGACGAGTCACTGTGTGTGAAGAGATAGACAGGTCACTGTGTGTGAAGAGATAGACAAGTCACTGTGTGTGAAGAGATAGACAAGTCACTGTGTGTGAAGAGATAGACAAGTCACTGTGTGTGAAGAGATAGACAAGTCACTGTGTGTGAAGAGATAGACAGGTCACTGTGTGTGAAGAGATAGACAGTCACTGTGTGTGAAGAGATAGACAAGTCACTGTGTGAAGAGATAGACAAGTCACTGTGTGTGAAGAGATAGACAGTCACTGTGTGTGAAGAGATAGACAAGTCACTGTGTGAAGAGATAGACAAGTCACTGCGTGTGAAGAGATAGACAAGTCAGTGTGTGAAGAGATAGAAAAGTCACTGTGTGAAGAGATAGACAGTCACTGTGTGTGAAGAGATAGACGAGTGACTGCGTGTGAAGAGATGGACAAGTCAGTGTGTGAAGAGATAGACAAGTCACTGTGTGTGAAGAGATAGACAAGTCACTGTGTGTGAAGAGATAGACAAGTCACTGTGTGTGAAGAGATAGACAAGTCACTGTGTGTGAGGAGATAGACAAGTCACTGTGTGTGAGGAGATAGACAAGTCGCTGTGTGTGAGGAGATAGACAAGTCACTGTGTGTGAGGAGATAGACAAGTCACTGTGTGTGAGGAGATAGACAAGTCACTGTGTGTGAAGAGATAGACAGGTCACTGTGTGTGAAGAGATAGACAGGTCACTGTGTGTGAGGAGATAGACGAGTCACTGTGTGTGCGGAGATAGACGAGTCACTGTGTGTGAGGAGATAGACAAGTCACTGTGTGTGAAGAGATAGACAAGTCACTGTGTGTGAAGAGATAGACAGTCACTGTGTGTGAAGAGATAGACAGGTCACTCTGTGTGAAGAGATAGACAAGTCACTGTGTGTGAAGAGATAGACGAGTCACTGTGTGTGAAGAGATAGACAAGTCACTGTGTGTGAGGGAGATAGACAGGTCACTGTGTGTGAGGAGATAGACAAGTCACTGTGTGTGAGGGAGATAGAGATAGAACCACTGTGTGTGTGGGGAGTGAAGAAGAGACTGTGTGGCGAGACGAGGAGTATGAGCAGACGGTGCTGAGGGGAATTCGAGTGTTCGAGTTGGCGGAGCACGGAGAGGATAAATTATAGTGTGTGCGGAACAATGGAAATAAAAGTGAAGGTGGAAGAAAGGCGATTGTCGTCCGAGTGAATCCAAGGCACTACAAATATATAGAAATAAAACTAAACTATGTTTTTCCTTATCTGACCAGGTAAGGCCCACTGAGCTATGAGATTATTTTTCAGAAGCGACCTGGCCGCAAATGATAGCTCAGCGAAGTGGCTTATTACGTGAACATTTTTTTAGAAGCAAAATAATCTCAATAACATAGGCGCATGTTTCAGCCTCGGGGTTTTACATGGGTCGATTTACATAGGATTTGTTTTAGGGTTTTATATGATTCTCAGGGTTGTATATAATCCTTAGGGTTTTATATTATTCTCAGAGTTCTAGGTGATTCCTATGGGTTTGCTTTGCCGGGGTTCTAGTGACCTGTATGGTTGAACACGATTAGCAGGGTTTTATGATTATTAGTGTTCTCTACGATTAATAGGGCACTAAGTGTAATTTCTTCGGGTCGTCATTGTTCTCAGTGTTATTGACGAACATGTTGAGTTTTTTTTGGTTTTCCTTGTGCACCACTGCCAACGCAGTATGACCAAACATTGGGTACCCTTATTCGGGTAATCTATCATTTGTATGGTTCTCATGACCTCTTAGGGGTTTTCCGTGGCCTGCGGCTCCAGAGCCGCATGAGTCTCTTGTGTTGGATATATAGGCCTTATTCCAAAATTGATAATAATGATATTGCCGGTATTTTTTTTTTAAATCACTCGCGGGGTCGCTGGCAGCACAAACAAACGAACCCCCCCCCTTTTTCGAGCTGCTGTCTTGTCACTCTCGCAAGGACTATGACAACCTCCCCTCCCACCAAGGGAAAGGGTCAGCCATAAAGTAATAAAACCCCAAAGTCAAAGAGGGAAAGGGGAGTGGGAATTACTAATGAAGCCCGAGGGGGAATTCCAGGGAGCGAAACCGGGCAGACAAGTTTTTAGTTAACAAAAGTACAAAAAAACAACCACAATCCACAGAGCGGGTAACACAACATTAATGCTAACGTTGTTCACCTTAAATTACATTACATCTTGCCGTCGCACGACCTTGCAAAAACCAAGGAATACGAATTCCAACAGTCAAGATGCTTACCTCTTAAATTCGGGACATAAAAAATAATAATAACTCAAGCATAACAGCACGGATCCCTGGATACAGACGGGGGAACGGAAATTAATAAACCCGGGGAAGTGCGTCGTGGTGACGGTGTTAAATCACAAATCTTGGGAAACGTGAGCCAAGATGATAATTGTGCAGTATTAATCCAAGGGCCAGCCAGAGAGAAAGAGAAACTCCCAGCTGCCTTTGTCTTCCAGCAGCACGTGATAAGAATTTGGATACCCTCGAGAGAGCATCTCCTTTTGGAAATAAAAATCAAACACCACGTGGAAACACTACGTCAACATACCTTGAGTCGCATACAGAATCATAACTGCAGGTGGTACGGTACCAAACTATAATAAAATAAATGTTAACTTTAAAAGCCTCAACACACCCTTTGTACGTCGGAAAATATCACACCGTGGGGGGGGGGGGGCTCGAACGGAGGAGGCTCGCCCCTCCTTCCAGACTAATTAATGCAGAGAGTGAGTCAAAGGACACACTCAAAGCATCTGTTTCCTTTTGATGGCTTTAATGGCTTGAGGAAGGCGAGGGGATCATGCCTTGATGAGACTAATATTACCTCAATTAATGACGCGCACACACACACGAAACACACGACAATCCATACCCCACGACACAGAGCTAGATCAAAGAGAGATCCGGTCCTTTGTAAGAAGGCGGAGCCAGAGAGAGAAACTTTGGCATAAAAAGAGAGACCCGCGAGCATCGAGATCATCAGCGACCAGCGGCAGAAGACGGGCGACCAACCCGAAGATAGCAGCCAACCACCGACGCAGAAGAAGACTCAACAATTCACCCAGAATGGTGAGGCTCGCTGTTAGGTGACATTGCCACGCCGTGCGAATTCAGCACCATCAGAAGAAGTATGGCTCGAAAAGCATTCCCGCCCTGAACCTCGACTCACAAGAGTCCAGCAGGTCTAGCTAAGCTGACGAGAGTTCCAGCATCAGCCACCAGAGGGTGGAAAAAGAGCCCAAACGCCACCAAGCGACACCAAGCACCGTGTCAACTGCCAGCGGACGAGCTGCGAGCGCCATCTGCCGACGGATCATCGCGCCGACGGCGAGCACCGTGTCAACTCGTCAACCTGCTGTGGGCCGAACGCCGGCCGACCGCGTGAAAGAAGGAAACCCCGCTATTCGTATGATACAACAACAACCGCCATTCGCCACTAAGTGGCGGTGATGTCACCACGACGCTTGTGCCAGGCTATGTGCACCCTGTGGCCACGTGAATTGTCGAACGCCCGCTGGCAGGAGGTCACGGGGCAGACCCAGCAG